GTGTGAATGACACTGTGTGCACCTTCTATATATAAGTATTGCCCTCCTCAGCTTGTAGAAAAGAAGCTATTTGTGATGAGCTTTGGTTCATCATGTGACTTTCTCATCACCACCAGTTTTTTGGTGCATTCAATGCATTACAATGGTTCAAAACAGATATTAGTACTTCAATATGTTGGTTTATTAACATTACATTAGTTAATGAAATAAGGTATTTTATTTTGAATAAAGTCAAGTCTGTAAAACCTAAAATATTGCTACCATATTTTTTTACGGTGAAGTTCTGGCAACCACAGCTGCCGGTATTTTTCCTTAAATGTCACAGATTTTTTTTTACAGTGTATGTTTGATCAGTTTAGCCTTCTCAAATCATCACGACTTGCCTAAAATAAAATCTATACATATAAAACAGTTCAAGCATATCACAATGTTAGTTTAAATGTTTAACCTATATAAATCTATCAGGGCCGGCTCCAGGCATGGGCAGGGGTGAGCCCACCCAAATGACTGTCTTGCCCACCCAATCAGAATTAGATAAAGATTACGTTAATTTTTTTGTGCAGATTAAAACTAATCTGAAGCGGACTGTATTTTGAGAAGTTTAAGCTATAGCTTGAGACTGCCCAAACAATCATAAAATAACTCCAGAAAATGGCAGCATTTTTCTTTTATTAGCTGAATGCAAGGCGCGCTGAATTCACGCGGAGGCTTCAGTCTGTTGCAGAAAAGCAGAGGCTGACAACGAGCGAAAACGGGCAGAAATATTTGCGCGCTATCACGGGGAGTTTGCGAGTTATGAGGAGTTTAATACACGAATATGTATCATAGCCTACCACTGAAATTACCTGAGAAGTTTTAATGTTCTAAAAGAAAAAGAACATCATTCAATAACGTGCGTTCATTGCATGGACGGTGCACGAGCATAGCCTATACAGGCTAAGCGTCTAAAATGCATGTAGGCTATTGCTATAGGCCTACAGTTGAAAGCGTACCCCTTTTGACTTGCTGTTAATGTTGAATGTATGAATTACTTACTATAGCAACAGTCGGCTCGACTGTATTATCCAGTGATGCAAACTATTCGACTTTCTTTTTTTTGTGTCAAATTCCGCCGTTTTGAATTGAAAGTTGGGCTGTCATTTACGTGATTCATGTAATTCATAATTATTGTGACGACAATAGCATTTTTCTGTCTTGCATTAAATTACATTCGATATATTAGGAACACAACTAAAATTGAATGGGTGCATATTTTAAAATAAAAATATTATTTGCAGTTCAGATTGATTACTTTACAAAAAATATTGTATTTTATATTAATTTAGTTAGTTCCTTTACCATTACCATAGTGGTCTGGTCTTTATATTTTCCTCAAAACAATGGTCCCCC